ATATCTTTTTATATCCTTTTCCATCTTGATAAAGTTCCATTACCTTTTTAGGCAGGTCTTTTGACAATTCTTTTCTGCTGCCCATGGCTCAGTATCTAGCCTGCTCTGTGCATCCACGTGAGAGCTAACAAACTCATTGGCTATTTATGCACACACACTAATTGCAATTTAAAAAGCCACAGGTGTGGGAAATTAACCTTTAATTGCCATTTTAACCTGTATGTGTCACCTTGTGTGTCTGTAATAAGGCCAAACATTTAATGGTATGTAAACTTCTGATCAGGGCCATTAGGGTTATTTCTGCTATCATTATAATTTAAAAAGGAGTCAAACAATGTGATAATAAATGGATTCATATGATCACTATCCTTCAATAAAATACATTTTTGCATGATCAGTCATATTTTCAAAATCAACGCCAGAATTTTACAATTCTTGCCCAGTTATGCAAATGTTTGAGCACAACTGTATATCTATGTTTTACATTTCTTATAGTATCTTCCTATTCAGAAGGTGAACTTTGTCCTTTCAGTATAACATATGCTACATGGACATATTAGCATATATATTACACTTTTACTAAGGTAAGTTATTAATTGTTGAACATTATGTTCTTTTTAAACTCCTGGTTTCTGAATAACTGTGGTCTCCTTAAAGGTCAAACACTGCTCACATCTTAAAGTGACACTATAGGCACCCAGACCACTTCTTCTCATTGTAGTGATCTGGGTGCAATGTCTCTGTCATTTTGTGACTGTGTGAGTATGAGTGTGTGTGTGTGTGAGTATGAGTGTGTGTGTGTGAGTATGAGTGTGTGTGTGTGTGAGTATGAGTGTGTGCGTGTGTATGCGTATGTGTCAAGGTGTTTGTGAGTGTATCAGGGTGTGCTTCTGTGTGTGCAAATATATGTGTGTCTGTGCACACATCTGTGTATGTGCGTCTGTGTGTCAGGGTGTGTGTTTTATGCCAGTTTTATGCCAGTGTGTGTATCTGTGTCATGGTGTGGGCATTCATCAATGTTTGTTTGGTGTCTATATGAATTTGTGTGTATGTGTCAGTGTATTTATATGCATCTGTGTGTTAATGTGCATTAATATCTGTGTAAGTATGTTTGTGGTAGTGTATGTGCATACATCCAAGCACTCAAACACCAGCACAACATACAAGCACACTCCTGCAATCTAACTCAAATATTACATATAATCCCCCTGCATTCAAACAAAAAAAATATACAAACACACTCCTTCACTCAAACACAAATACTTCTCACAAATGTACATCCGCATTTAAAAGTGAACATTACATTCAGACACACCCCTGCAATCAAACGCAAACATTACATACAAGCACACCCCTGTATTAAAACACAATAACTATATACAAGCACCCCTTCAAACACCAACACTGTACATTACACTATAGCGCCAGAAATTGCGGCAGCGCTGTACAGATATACAACCTAGAAATTTTTACTTGGGGTGCCTTGGAAAAATACTGAAATATTAAGGGTGCCTTAAACCTAAAAAGTTTGGGAACCACTGCAGTATTGTATTCCTATACACTATCACTATAGTGTTCCTATAAGAAACCCTGTTGGCTATTTAGGAGATTTTTAGGTGGTTTATTATTCATATAACTCCCAATTAAATGATATTAAACAAAGTGTTCTTAGCAAAGCTTTGATACATAAATTCTCTGAAATAATTTATTTAATGTTTGAGCTCTTTCTAAAATGTGTGAATGTGTTTTTTAATTCTTCGCATGATAGCTGCATTGTTATCTGTATTGTCCAAACTATTTTACACTTCTTTTTTTAGCACACATCAAATTATTATTTGATTTATATTTGAGAAATTTTCTTTTTAATTTTTTTCTCTAGATTTTTTTTTTAAATCTTTATTGCTCACTAATCATCTGACAGCACCATGTAAGAAGTTTACCTGCTAATATCAAAAAACATTTCGAGAAACAAAACACTCTCTTTACTATCTCAACCGCAAGATAAAAGTGTTATAAAAGAGCTGATAAAAAGGATATTAAAAAAAATCATTCCCCCATCCTGAATACCTTAAAATAGGTTGCAACACGACAGATAGCAGAACTGGAGCAGTTGCAACTTGCACAAAAGGACCCAACGAGACCAGACATACAGGGACCTGATTACAAAAAGAAGACAGCTAATAGACATCATAGAACGCAAGCATGCAAGAAATGTACAACACTCAAAAGCATTCTTCTATGTACATGGAAACTACTCGCCCGGATGCTAAGAGGCCCACAGAACAAGGCACAGGTACAAACCCTAAGAATCCGGCAAACTGATGCAATTCTCATAGGAAATTGCGGAAGAATTCAGGTCATTCTACACACAACTGTATAACATTCCTAACGTAGGAGGGGACGCCACCCCTACAAGGAAACACGCTGACACAGCCATATACTTACAGGACTTCAACCCAGACGCCCTTACACTGGAAGAAGCTGAAGCGTTGGACGCACCCGTATCCGAGGAGGAAATAAAGATGGCGCTGAAATCAGCAAAAAACTGGTAAGGCGCCCAGCCCGGATGGATTCCCGGCAGAATACTATAAGAAATTCGGCGTAGAGCTGATACCAAGACTGGCGAAAGGCATTAAACAGCCTACGAGATGGAGCGACCTTCCACAGGGAGTCCCTGGCTGCAACAATTACGGTGATCCCTAAACCAGGCAAAAACACAGAACAAGTAGGTAACTACCACCCAATCTCCCTCATCAACCTGGATGTGAAACTCTTCTCCAAGATACTGGCGTATCGACTGTAGGCCTACATGCCAAGACTGGTCCACCCGGACCAGACGGGTTTCATCCCGGGCAGGGGGGCCAGAGACAGCACTCTTCGGCTCTTTACAATCCAACACCTAGCAAAACACCTAAGGAAAAAGCTACTTCTACTCTCCATGGACGCAGGAACATAAAGTAGCCGCCTACGCGGATGATATGCTGTTCCTAGACGAACCTCTCAAATCCATTTCACAGCTAATGAAAGAATTTCAGACATACGGAAACCTATCTGGACTTAAGCTCAATCTATCCAAGTGTGACATATTGAATGTAACGGTACCGGAGGTGGAATGTGCGCGACTGAAACAACAATTTCCCTTTCATTGGTGCACGGAACACATGAAATACTTAGGGTTATGGATCACCCACGAGGCGAAAGATCTATACGCTCATAACTTTGTGCCCCTCCTAACTGATATCCTAGGAGATCTCAAGAGATGGAACTACAAACACATCTCATGGCAGAGACGAATAGCAGTTGTAAAGATGAACATCCTGCCCAGAATACTGTATATGTTTCACACCATACCCCGGATGATACCGCAAACATTCTTCAAAATGCTCAGAACAGCGATCTTTAGATATGTATGGAAGGGGGACAGAGCTAGGATTAGCCACGAAAAACTGTGCCTTCCCAGAACATGGAGAGGACTTGACCTGCCGGATTTTGGTAAATACTATCAAGCAACGGTCTTGCAACGTCTCTTGGGAGTTACACATGGCCACTCCCCATAAACGATGGGTCTCTCTGAGCAGGGACTTCGCGGACAACCACCTCCACTTATTTATCTGGCACAAGGAATCCGAGGCCACGAGCGACCTCGGGGAGGACTCCCCCATCACACAAACATTCAAAATATCGACCAGGTTGGGGAAGGTGCCCTATATCTCACCAAAAGCAAGCCCGCTGATCCCCATCACTCACAACACAAACATAGGCGATGGTCTCCCGCCATCCGCATGGCCACTAGCCAACCAGGAAGGATACATACCTCTGCAAACAGTACTGATGGAAACAGGAATAAAGACACTGCGGGACATGACGGAGGGAGGGACGGCTACGATAATGCACCAATTCCACTATGCTCAATTGAAAAATATCTACCATAACCTACTGCACAAAAACAAACTTCACAGGGACCTAATATGGTACGAAACTATATGCTCCCACACACAGGGGGCAGAAGGCACAGTATCAGTCATATACCAATGCCTGATAACTGGCGAGAGAGAAAAGAAGGATACATTCAAAAGACAATGGGTAGACCTAACAGAGAGAACCTTCACGGAAGGCCAATGGGAGAAAATACTATTGCTACAGCACATAAGCACATCCAGCTCGCACTTTCAGGAGGTGAACTACAAATTGATCTCTCACTGGTACCGCACACCATCCTTGCTACACCGGATCAACCCAGTGGTCCCGGATACCTGTTGGAGATGCGAGGACGGTAATGGCAGCCTCAGACACATATGGTGGGACTGCGAAAAAAATCAAACCATACTGGGACGACATCGAGACAGAAATACAGAACATACTGGGGGTGGGGGAACCTACATGCCTGACTGCAGAATCGGCTTTGATACACCACATGGAAGAACTGCTCTCAGTATACAAAAGATCAATCCTTAGACACTTGCTCAATGCAGCAAAATCACTAATACCGCTATTCTGGAAAACATCGAACCCGCCAACAATTGGGCAGTGGAGACACAGAGTTGAAGAAATACAAAGGGCCGAATCCACAATAGCGGACCTGCAGGGGAGGAGGGAAAAGCACACGGAACAATGGAGACCTTGGTATGTATATATCTCTCAGAACGCGACCAACAATTAGGTCGGGGAGGGGACTGGGGGGGACGGAGTTGGGGGCCCAGGATGGTCAGATGCTATGCTACCTCGCCCACACCCGCTCCCACCTATCCAACCATGAACCCGCCATCGCACTGCGGGGAGCATGGCGGGAGCAGACCCACACAGGAGAGTGGGACAATTCGGGGCCTGGACCGAGGGCAGCCTAGCTGTTTAGAACTGAAAGACATGGGAGCACATGGGACAGTTGCCCAAGACGGGGAAGCCAGATACACTTGCAACCCATGAGAGGGGAGAGAAACAAACAAACCCACAAGGCATGATGACAGAAAGCGGAGGCAACCGCCACTCAGCATAAGCAACATGCTCTCCCCCTAACACAAGAACACACACCCACCCCAGGGCACACTACCGACCCCTACATACAGATGCAGCCACGAACCACAAATTTACATTAGAGTGAACAAAAAATTACTTATGACGTTACACACAAAGCAAACGAAACTGGGAAATACACATCTCAGACCGAAAGGACCGCCACTCAGTCACAGACCTAGAAACCAAACCCGCGAGAACGCAAGGGACCCACCACGTAGGGACCAATGTAAGACGAATGAAAGGGAGGGGAACGATGTGCTGCCCCCGGCAGATGCCACATTAGATAACAACTATGGGGATACCAGTACGCACACAATAGGAAAAAGACACCCAAGACAACATCACTTGACAGGACCGCGGGCGACTCGCTAGTCAGCAAAGCACACAGCGAATATCATTCGAAAGCTACACAACCCAAATACCCCAATCAATATTTACATTCTGTAAGCATCAGCGGGGATCTCGATATGACGAAATCCATCAGGTAGAGGGTGAAAGGTCCTCAAAACACCACACCTAAGAGTTAATTAAGATGTAAGCAACAACGGGAAAAGATAAAGTCACATTGGTTTTCCCATACAGGGAGAAGCCTCCAAACTAGGTCATTAAGAAGACGATTAAACGCAATGTAAATGACACATACCACTGTGCTGATCTCCAGCTATACCCGGATGTACACGCAATAAACAACACACGCTGACACCAACTACACTTACACAATACAGTGAGGGCACTACACCCCTCATAAGACCACCTCACACCCACAGGGGTAACCAAATATTTAAATTATGTTTCTTGGATGTATATTTATGTTTAACTAGGAACTAACGTATGCTCAACCAAAATGGACCTGCGAGTCCAATGAATACAACAGTATAAATTCATTTTCTACCAGCTACTATGGAGACCTGCGCGTCTCAATATTTGGATATGCAACTATCATACTTTAATGTTATATTTGACAAACAACAAACAATAAAAATCAGATAAAAAAAAAAAAGGTTGCACGTTAAGCACTGTGTATATTTATGGATTGATATAGTCTCATGAGTCATTCATATAGCAACACTGGACACTAAACTCTTACATAACTAATTAAGAATCTTTGTTTTCTACTTAAAGGTCTTTCAAGGCCAAATTATATTCTCAAAGCACTGGTAAGAATATACTAGCAATTTAGACCTTGAAGCTGTGGAGTTGATAACTTTAAACAGCTGCTTGAGGCAGTGCAGGCTCCTGACGGACTTGGCAGGAAAAAAGATGACTCACAACATGAAACAAAAAAAGAGTTCTGTCCAGACATGACTCACGCCTTCTTACACAAGATTTCCTTTAATATATTGCTAGATCATTTCATCAGATATTAATAATCATCCCTTAAGGAGATTGCATTCAATTTTGAAATATACAGAGAAACTGAAAACATTTATAGGTGTGATTTTACTCTGTACATATATTTTAAAAAACTTGTGTCTGGGAAATAATAAAATAGATATACGAAATCAAGATAAAAAAGCAAGTAGAATAAGAATCCTATTTGCATATCATACAATTTGTGCAAATTTACCCCACATATTTTAGACTGCAAGATTTTTAGAGCCAGGTCCTCTTGCCTCTTGTTCCAGTGATTTAATCGTGTCCTATTACAATTATTTATATGCCTTGTATCCCCTTCTACCCGCACTGTTTATACTTATAATAATAACGAAAACAAAGTTCTTTATTTAATCATCAAAGTACTTGAGATTTGGGCGCACCATGTATATCATGGTATGCCATTGGTTCTAAAATCATGTTTTGTTAAAGTTTAAAAATGTTATTTTGTTTGTTTTAACTTGCAATGAACACTTGCATGTATATAGAGACATAATAGCAGATATACAAAGACACACACAAGTGGACACATATTACATAAATAGACACACAATGATATAGGCAACTTAAGGCTGTATTTTACTCCCCATATAATTTGGCGGCCTTCAAATACACATAAATACAATTCATGTGGCAACACAATTATTTCTATATTAAAAAACACACACACAGACATATATATTTAAATATATATATATATATATATATATATATTTATATATATATATACACACACAGTCAAAAACACAGTCACATACATACATAAACACACAATCACAAAAACACACATATTAATATAGATACCTATTCACACAATTGTACACACTCACATGCATTGAGCGCCGGCTCATACAAGTTCTGTCCTGCTCCTACCTCAGGATACAGCACCGAAAAGCGCTCTGATTAAAGTTTTAACGGACCGTGGCGACTCTGCAATCTGCTTACGAGTTCCAGAAGATTTCAGATTTACTCCCGGTCAGGCGCACCTTGTCTCAGCAACTTCCTGGATGGTAAAGGGTGACTCAGTGGCCGCGGGCAAGTGGTGTTGAGTTGGGAGACACGGGATGGAGGGTTGGCGCACAGTAATAACAGTCCTTTTTGAGAGGGTGAGGGTTGGGGAGACGTGTACCTGGGGTAGGTGACCAGAGGGACCATCACAGGGTAATCCTTTAACTATTTGCCCGCAGGCTGCTAGCGCTGACAGCTGCAAATGGTACGTCAAATGCATTGTCGTATGCATTCGTTGCTGTTTCAGTTTAATATCGGTGCTTTGTACATTTACAGATCCTATACTTTGTAAAAAGTTCAATGTGAAAAACACTGCTTTTAAACCAGACACAGAACACTTCCAACAGAATAACACTGTTTTTGGTTGGATTGATCAAATTTCAGATCCATTCCAGATGAAATTCAGCACTTTCCCTAGAATTTGTCCATTTCGGTAAAAATCCAGTGTTTATGTTTAGAGAATAATCATGCATGTTGGCACTTTGCTTTGGGCTGGTATCATTTTTTTCCAGGGCTGCTTCTTGGTCCCATGCTGGCCATCCTGTTTAGATAATTTGAAGAAGAGATACCCAATCATCATCATATGTACTTTACTGAAAGATAGTTTGGTATCACAAAGACTCTTAACACTCTCTGCATTAACAATCTCATTGTTCATCATTACATTACAAGACAAACACTGCTAAAAAATTTAATTAAAACAACTGTGTAAAACATACACAGTTTAGCCTACAATAACTTTGCTCCCAACCATTGGGACTGAAGAAATAAGATGAAGTGGATGGAACTTTTAGGAGGGCATCACTAGCGATGCCCATAAAGGATGGGCTGACTTGAAAAAAGGTCCGTAATAAAAGGCGGCGTTGCTCCCTCCTAGCCTTCAAAAATATGTAGAGAGCACTGCTGAAGAACTTTGTGTATGGTCAAAGTTTTAAAAGAACACCTACTTTGTTTCATTGTCCCATGTTTACTTCTGAATACAGGTCAAAGTAAATGATGAAGATTTTAAATGTATACAAACACATTTAGAAGGTTACGGCAACCACCGTGACCACTTCAGTGATTTGAAGTGGTAGGAGTCAGTATGTGCAGCTTGAAACACTGCACTTACTGAGTTAGTTTTAAATGTGTGCTGGGGGCTAGTAGCATCCCTAGCAAAACGTGCCATTGGCAGCCCAAAACTCTGTCCCTGTCTGCCAAAGTAAATTCTGTGCAAATTTTGCGTCTTGTCAGTGTGCACTGCATGCTGCCAACAGACGTGAAAATCTTCCCCTTGCAGGCAGAGCACCTGCAAGGAGATGATTCCGTCTCCCTCCCTCCACCCATATTGTGCTTAATTCCGCCTTCCTCCATTGCACATAGTCATAAAAACAAACAAACAAATTATTTTGTTTTATTATGCAAGGACCAGTAATCTAAAGTAAAATGAAAACACTTTATCCTGTTTATTTTTAACATGAAGGTTGTTCCCTTTACAAAGTTCAACTAATGGGAGTTAGAGTAAAGCTCCATAACAGAGGCACTGGGGTGCAGTCTTAAAGTGACCATAACCTGAAAACTCAGGCAGCATAAATATTTTTAGGAGGCATAAAGCTGGGCCAGGGTGATTTGTTAAAATTATATTAAAAAAAAAAGTCACCTGCTAAGAGGATAAACTTTTTCAATCCTGCTGCTGATGAATCCAAGGAGTGTGTTAATTCTCTTCTTAGTCTGCTCATTTAAGTTTGTACCCACTGAAGGAAGGTAATTATAATTACTGGGGCTCTATATATCTGCTTTCTACCAAGGGTGACTGCTTAAAGGGACACTAAAGTTAACACTCAATGAAGTTCTAGCCCTGCACTGTAAAATATTGCAACTTTCCCATTGCAGTGATAAGCACACCTCTAGTAGAGGCTGTGTTTTGAGCAGCATTTGATTGTCAGAGAGAGATGGTTTTCTATAGGGAAGCATAGGATAAGCTGATATCATAAGGATTGATGCCATGGAGGTGGGGTGGCCTTGGAGAGAGTAACGCGGAGATGGAAAAAAGGTAACACTGCCTTTTTACTTCACATATATATCCAGTGGGATGAAATGTTAACCTTATCCTCATCTGATGCACAAAGCAATAAGCATGCTTAAATATAAAATAACAAAACTAATGCAAACTGGAAGTCAGGTTGAAATAAGATGATTTTGGCCTTTTTATGGTTGGGTGAAACAAATCGCAAAGGTTTAATGCAGATATTGATACTTCTGTACCACAGCTGTAATACTTGAGTAATTGGCTAGAAGTAAACAAAAAATAAAAAATAAAGAAAAAGCAAAAAAAATAAAAAACACAAACGCCCCTAGAATGTCCAACTCCAAACATGTTCCTTTAATCACTGTGACACCAAAGAATAAAGTGTAGAATAGAAACATTTTATAAACTGCCAACCTGCTGTATTAAATGTAACCTTTCCCTCACAGCAATAAGGGGCACTAAATTGTTACAGTCACCAGTTATATAATGGAAGATGTTATTTAGCTTTCAGTATTAAAAGGGGTTGGAGGTAACAATGAAATACTACCAAATTTGGCCAAAGGGCTTTTCAAGACCTCACCTGTGGTTCCAGCACCTCTCGAGCTAAATCTCTGGTGATAATCTTTAGCCACTAACAGTTCAAGAGATGGTGGATTTAATTTTTGCAGTGATGGTGGGAGGTTAAACTCTTTGTATACATACTGCAAGTTTAACAGAAATAAGTTACGCGTAGTTAGTCTCCAGAGATGATGACAGCATAACAATTTTGGAACCAAGAGTTCCGATCCCACGAATCATTATATGGCAAATTATATCCTTCAATAGAATGATCACGGCAGATTCAAAGCACTTGAGTATTTCCTTTTTCCTCTATGGTCATGAAGAAAAAAAAAAAAAAAAGTATTGCCTTGTGATGACACAGGAAGTGCCTGACTTGATAAACAAGCAAATGGTCTATGAGAAAATGGCTTTTTCCTTCTGCAGTCATGCTTGCTGCTTGCAATGCGTCCACTTCTGAACAATTGTTATTCATTTCATATCAATCTTTTGATTACTTGCAAGTCTTTGTTTTAATTGGTTTAAAAAAAAATGAAAAAAATAGACTAAATTCATAATGTTAATGTGCTTTTTTTTTTTTTTCAAAGAAAAAAAATAAATACTAGCTACTCTTAATTTTGTAGTAAAATAGTAAATCTCTTCAAATTGTGTTTTTAGATCAGCCGCATAAACACAGATGTGTAAAAATTTTTACTTGACTGACCAAAGTCCTTATTAGTATATTTTATAATTATTGTATATGTAAAGAGTTCTATGAACATACAAATACATTTTTTTTGGTCCTACGGAGTGTTGATGTTTTGCTTGTACAAATCAATGAGTTTGTTTGTAATGCTATAACTAAAAAAAAATAAAAATAAAAATTCTATATAATCAATCCTTTGAAATATATAGGCTGATTAAATGATGCAACCAAGCCACATGTTTATAAAAATGAACTTTTTATTTTTAACAAGGAAGAACAATAGGAAAAACAGAACATTTTCCACATAAAATTTGTTTTTAAATGGAGCCAACAGTAACATTTCAGCACCAAATAAATCAAAAATGTAAAAAAAACAAAAAATAAAATTTACAAACAGCCATAGATTAGTATCTATAAGCAAACATGTAATATTGCACTTTGTTTCTATAAGAGTTTGGATTTAACTTGTTTGTTCCTAATTAGGAAACGCTTTCAAATACTGGAATACATATGCCAACTTTGAACTAACCAATATAGGAACAAACAAACAAACAAAAAAAATAATAAACAAAACCAGAATCATGTAAAATAATGCCTCTAACAACAGAGTAAATAAATACTTTTACAACCTTTGTAGAAGTTTTCTCTCTCTTTTTTGTATTTAAGATATTCTGTTCACCCACATCTGCATGCGATAGAGAGCCAGTGGCCTTTATAATGCTAAATTTCACATACATTTGCAGTGGCCATTATTATTGGTCAACCCTATTTTATAGAAAAACCCATGCCTATAGCCTCACAGGCAAAACATTAAGTGTTCCCCATTTTCTTAATTATAGAAAAAAAAATGGAACAAGGGTTTCGTTTAACAGACATCCTATATGCGTGTATATATATATTATACAAAAATGATATAATGCCAAATACACTAGCACTTGAAGAAAATGGTGAAGATGTGAGGAAACATCGACAAGAGATAGTAAAAAAACAAACAAAAACAAGATAAAGAAGAATATAATCACTGTCACTTCTTTCTAAACCATTAAAACTGAAATAAATCCAAACATCTACTGAATCACTTAAACGTGACTATTAAAAACTTTACAGTTCTTCACTCTGGAAGCTTTTACTGTAGAAATATTTATTCATTTAGCTTAAAAAGGTCACTTGCAAAAAAAGCATGTTTTTTTATTTTATTTTTTTAAGCTTAAAAGAGCAAGTCTTGGAACAATGTGACTCATTCCTTATAATCAAAAGAATGATACGTGTGTCAAAGGGACATCTGAAAGATGTGTACAAGGCTTGCACTAAACAAATATAGGAAACGTTCTGCTTAACGTGATTTGGGAAGAAGGGCTCTTTCGTAAAACCAGAGTAGAACTCCAGTGCAGATATCAAGTTCACCCTTTTACAAATTTGTTTGTATTGTGCAATTGGAAAAGCTGTTCTTTCCTCTTTGTTTAAAATCAAAAGCATATGTGCAGAAAAAAAAAAAACTATTAATCCTATGACCATTAAAACTAAGAAATTCGGTTTAAGTCTTGGTAAAGTCAACTGATTAAATCTTAGAAAGCGAATTATTCATTATTTTAATTTGTGTACGCTGTGATGTCAGTTGTCAACCAAATGCACACATTTAGAGTTAAATGTTAAAACAGATCATACCCAACTGATTATCAGTAACATTGCCAAGCAACTCACTGTGATAGGTGTGCCATTTTATTTTCTGTGCAGCAATATATATGTTTTTTTTAAAATCACACAGGCTTTTTTTTAATATAGACAATGACCCTCGATTTAAGAAGAGTTGGATAACATATCGACCTATGGAAAGAGGGCTCCTTGTTAAACAACCTTGATTTTGAGGAAGAACAGATCTCTGTTTTACAGACAGTATCTACCCAGCTTTTACCACAACTGGAGTCTCCTTATGACCTTCCGGCCTGCCCTTCCTTTGATGTATGTTTAATGCCCTAATTTAGCTTAGAAAGAGCATTTTTATTCATGTTTCTCTGTAAGGGAAATGTGACTTTTGTTTTAGCTGTTCTTGTGCATTTTATCAGCCAACATCACTCTGTACGATCCCCCTGCCCCTTAGAACAAAAGCACAGTGCAACATATAGACACCTATAGCATTCCAAAAGTTTGGCAAGTGATGAGTTCTCCTGAGATTAGGTGATTTGTAGGAAGTCTGTAACAAAATCCTGCTTGGGGTGACAGTATAAAGGCAACATGTCTCTGAAAGAAATTAAGATGTACAATCTTGACAAAATAAAATAAAAATAAAAAGTCTTATTCCTCATTTCTTTTTTTTTCTCGAGAACCCACTGGAACTTTTGCTATTCTACTACAGTGTGTTGCAAAATAACAGACAGCAATAGGAATTGGCATAAAGGCATTCGATGTTTGCGGTTAAATCCATTGCTGAATCCAAGCTGAAGAGGTGTTGCACAGGCAGTCTTAAAAGGACAGTACGAAGCATGTAAACATACAGGTAAAGTCCAGGCCAAACAACTTTAGTTGAAAAATAATAACAAGAACGTTAGTGCATTAGTCTTTTTTTTTTTCCATTTTTTTTTTTATTAATCAAAGCTTTCTTTTGCTTCTATGTGTGCAGATCACAGCCAAACCAAAGAAGTGAAAAAAAAAAGAAAGCTGTAGTGATTTGAAGCTGCCCCACATACACACTGAAGGTGTGCAAATGTAAAGAGGAAGCTGATCCACATGTACTAGCGGGACGATACTCTCATCTCCGGACCATGTATGATTGCAGCAGCTTTGCGGGTTTGCCAACAGCAAGGGGACACGTCTCCCTTAAGCCGTACAGCATATACTGGATCTAATGCCATAAGCGACATAACCGTGACTACAGGATAATTCAGTTTGCAACTTCGCAGGTGAATCAAAAAACTGTCTCCTGTGAAAGTAAGTCTCCCAAAATTAGGCTGCCGTTAGTTGTATATGGCCAGAATCTCATCTGGTGGAAAAAATAAACGCCTTCAACGAGATGGACAAGAAGGGTGTTCTTCCACGGGCTGCTCTGGATTTGGGTCAACCTATCGAAAGAAGAAAAATAAATATATTTATGTTGATTACTTTTACAATGGGCACATACGTCAGTAAACATGATTATATTAAAGTGTTCATTGATAACACTGATTAGATAATCTGACTGATAAAACATACAACATATACACATAATTTGCAGTACTCCACTCCACCAATTCCAGGAATCAAATATGGCATAGATAAGGTTAGAAGAAGCAATTTTCTATTAAGTGGTACTGGTTTACAAGTACTGTTGTCAGGGCTTAGAATTTGAAGTCTCGCCAGGCCTTACAAGTTACTTGCTACTGTAAGCCATAGCATACTCACTAGAGGTAATTGTCTACTCGCCATAGCTAAATTTTCACCCAAAAAGCTATTTGTAATTGGAAATTTTGAGCCCTGCTGTTATAGGGCAAAAAAAACAAAAACAAAGAAAACCCCCCCCAAAAAAACCCCTCTGTTAATACACAAAGAGTGCTATTAAACTGAAACATGAAGGACATTTTTGCAAACTAAGAAAAAGAAAAAAAAAAGAAATATCTTCAAAAACATAAATTCATATAAAAAAAATAATCAATTTTACGTGATTATGATAAGTAAATAAGCATCTACTGAAAATCTATTTTATTCCTTAGCACTCCTATACATGTTAAATAATAGGCAACAGTATTTAACTATTGTTACTTGAGCCTTGCTTTTAAAAATGCTAAGAAAAAAAAAAAAAAATTCCAAGCATCTCGTTCCCAAAGATGCATGTCACCAGTTGTGCACTGTCTTGCCTTTTCTTCAAGAAGCAAACAAAAGGCTACTTGAATTGTTTAAATGTTGCACGATTTTCTCATTAAGTCACCCATCTTGTGACATTTGGGGGAGGGGGAAATCAAAAGAGCTATTGTTAATAATCCCGTAAGAATAGGACAAGAAAGGGGTCAGATGCTTTGGTAATATCTAGCAATTCTTAAATAAATAAAATATATTCAGTCCCTTATGCCATATTTTCTTTTAAGAATAGGAGTACAGTATTAGTAAATATTATATACCAGGTACATAAACTTACCTCTGAATACAGAGGAGGAGGCAAAAAGCGAAACTCTTGGATGTAGGCAAACAGTGGTCCAGGGAGAGCCATTTCAAAGTTATCACAACCATTTGATGATACAAGATTCTGCCTCTGTTCTTCTGTGACAACTTCAGCATAGCTTGGAGGAGCTGAAATAATAAAATAAAACATTAATATTCAACAAATTATATACCAACGTCAGCGGAATGGAAATCTATTTTGAAAGCTGCCAAGGTTTATATTATTGATAGTATAAAGCTATGTGTTGCCATGGAGATGCTTGTAAATTTTGGACAGCACATGGTTAACATACAATCAAAAAAGTTTTATGAAGAATACCTTCGGGTCTTTCTGGTAAAACGAGACCAAGCCAGTTGTTCATGCTGTACTGACTGCTCACACTAGATGTTCGGCTGCCGAATGGGTGCAAAGGAATAGTGCCAATTACCAGTGGCAAGTTAAGGAATAAATCCATAGCGCCTGGAATATCCACATATACCTGGAAGAAAATGTATTTGAAAGTCATGATTTAATATGGTAATTAGAGTTTCACTCAATCTTTAGTCATAATTGTGCAACAAATTGCAGAATTTCCATAAAATTTGTGAAATTAAGTCTTTTTTTCAGACTATGTGATAAAAAAAACCCCAAACAAAATCATGTCAGCTGAAACCGGATTATGATATTACGTCACTTGCAAATACCCAGTGGTACAGGATCACGCAAGACACAGCCTCCAACTACTATTGCTGTCAACAGGATGTAAAAAACTGTTGCCTCGTTAATATTACTAAACAGTTTGAACATACGTACCATTAGGGAATACTCTACACGAATTATGCTACAGTCAATGATTGATGGGGACACAGGTGGGATTTTCAACAGTTTTCCATTCCAAGTCTCCGTCTTCCCAGAGGACAAGGATTCCCCTCGCAAGTTGGCCACAAGCTGCTTAACTTCCTTCATTTTCCCTTTGGCATAGAACGTCTGAGTTTGATAAATGGCTGCTTTCGGAACAACCATACGGGAAGAGCAGTTCTCAATCTCTGCAAAGATCTGGATTGATTCACCTTTAAAAAAACATGACAAAAGAAAGAGAATTTAAAGGATTTGAAGTGGCCAAGGAAGTCGCCTATCTGCTTATACTTTAAAGATTAAATCATATCCTCCAATAAAGAGATAATTTATAAATTACATATCCCTGCAAACACATCAAATACTACATTCGCAAAAATCATGTTTCTGTTCTGGATTTTGTGTGCACACGATTATCAAGACACAGAAGTAACCAGATGAATATATGGGTTTTGCAACAATGTGATTGGTGCAAAATGTTCATGTTCAGCACGTGAATAACCAGTGCGTGCTAACTGAGAAGAATTTGAAAGGAATATTATGGAAATATTGTCTCCACACAGGAAAGAGGATACTAACTACTAAATACTTCACCAGGACTGTCTAATTGTAGCAACCAGTCTAGACCCACTAAGTCAGATATATCAATGTTTTTTTATCCTGATATCTGTTCTATGAACAGATATTTTTTTGTTACATGTGTTACATTTTAAATGGCAACAGATTGGCATTTGTCTATTTATTCTCATTATGTAAATAGACTAAAAGTATGTTATGTGTGTTACACACATGGTTATGCTACATCACGTTAATGATGAGATTCATCTAAGATAAAACTCATCTTGTATATAGAACAAACAAAGAGAAAAAAAAAGATGTGATAAAGGAGGACTGGTTAATAAAGGTTAAAGTGAATAGGGTTAAAACATACCTGGGGTGTAGCCCTTCCGCTCTATTTTGGCACTTAAGGATATTGGACCTGAGGTACAAAACCAGCAACACAAGGTCTTTTCTTTTGTGCCTGCTTGTGGTGACTGCAAAAAAAAAACAAGCAAACAAAAAACTAGATTGAGTAAAATATTAACTGTGCAAACTTGAATATAAAAATCAAGTCTAAACGAAGAAATAAACTTAGTTCTAGAATTCTAAAGAAATGTGTAATAAGCACAACCTAAAAAAAATAAAATAATAATAACCCACAGAAACCTATACTTAAAATTTCATAAAATGCTGTGTATTTTATCCTTCAATGTATGGGCTTCTCAATGGGGCAAGTAATAAGAATTATAATAAAAGTATATACATTGTTTGCCTAGTTCGCAGGCACTAAAATTGCCGAGCGCACTTTCTCAGATTTAGGTTTAACCAAATAAATATCTAATTAAGAGATGTTGCCATTTGCCAGGTTAACGGCATTCACTTTATTGACTTAAAAAGGTAAATTTGCCAGGAAAGGAATCAGTGATCCCGAGTTATGAACACTTTCTAAAGTTGGTGTATTAACCAACCAACTTATAAATGTCAAAAGGAGACTACACACACACATAATTTTTCCCTCTTACGTTATATTCTAAATTTACTTAAAATAGTTTTACATCTTTAGGAAAATAGAAGTTATTTGTACGCAAAGGTACATTTAAGTTAATTGATGACAGTGTAACTGTGCATTGAGATTAAAACAATTTGATGCAGAAAGCCAATATGTACCATTATTTAAGAAAATGCATCTTCAGTACTAGAATTTTTGGAGTTTTTAACTTTCGGCTATACAGTAAAGTATATCAGTTATTTTCTTACCAGTAATGAAGGAGTGTTGATATCTATATGCTCAAAGACTGTGAATTCCTTCTTTAATTTTACTGGTAGGAGCCAAGCTCTGTGCAATTCGGCTTTCACCCAATATCGTACACTGCCGTGTCTGCCTTCAAATGAGGTAGCAAGTGGTCTGTGTAAGAGAGGAAGGCAAAATTAGTGATGTGTTAAATTAACCTGAAATGACTAGGTTTGCTTAATGATACTTAACGCTAATCCTATTTAGATCCCAAAACACATCTTACACCTCTACATACCTCTGAATATGTTTAATTATTAAATCGGTGCTACTTAAAACTGCACGAGTAATTAAGTTGCAAGGCCAGGCAGGGCCAAAGATTATTATGTACAACTGTCATGTAAACCAAAACGCATCTTGTAAAACGGGAACGTACAAATTCTACACTGATGTTCAGGAGTCATTCTGGACATCTAAAATAATAGTAAACTAGAGCCTTGATGAGTATTCCCCCGAGCTGACACTAAGGGGTTTAGCTACAACCTACTAAACACCGAATTGTAATGCTTAAACTCCTAAGCCGTGACTGTAGCGGAGTTGGAGAATTCTAACAAAATAATTATTTGGTTTTCACTTCACTACAATTCGGCGATTAGTGAATAAACACGTGAACCCATCTAAAAGATACTTACGTCTGTGGAAGCTCGAAGCTGAATGCATATTCATGCCTTCCTGAATGAATAGTGGTCAGACCTTCTTCAGAGTTATCATCATCTAAAAAAACAAAAGTATGCCATTGTTAAAGGTAAAGGTGCATCAATGTACAAAATACATACAAAAAAAATAAAAAACTGAAACATCAAATACTTATTTATCAATAAAAAAATGCCATCAATGAATGTTTTAAATGCGTGAGCTCACTCCTCTGCATGTCTAAATGACTAATACTAATTGTTACAAAAAAGGAAAAAAAAAAATTAAAAATGCAATACTTTACCTAGGAATATATAATTTAGCAGCACTAGAAGTATATTCAATTTAAATTGTATAGGGCCCTGCCCCTCGTTTTTAAATTTTTAAAACTCATAACAGTCTATCCATTTTTAAAAAAAACACCATTCGATATAATTCCCTCAGATACTTAACTGCTGTCACCTTTAAAAGAATAAAATATGTTTCAACAATAATGTGTGTGCCATTTTGCTTTGTTACATGTTAAAAGACTATTTATGGAAGAATATGTAAGTTTTTCTTTTTCATATTTTTTTTAAAGGTAACACAGAGATGATGGATTAAGCGACTGACAATGGGACTGCAAATATTAGACCAAAATAGTCAAGTTGGGAAAATAGTTGTGTTTTGGTTTAAAAACCATGCTTTTTAAAATACCCTAGCTATCTTTATTAAACTATTGTCTGCATTTATATGCTAAACACTATATATATATATATATATATAAACCTTTAAGCATCAGTCTGCCAAGTGTAATTGGTTAGGTCAGACATACAGCAGTAATTTCACTGCACCCATCTTTAACGTGTAGTTCATTGTTAAAAAAAACCTTGAAAATATTTTAAGTAACTGAATGTCCTGTCATTTTGTTACGCGATTCCAACACCAGGTTATATAAATATTGCCTAGCAACAGAATAAAATAGCACGGAGACTTATAATAGAGACATATTATAAGAACGCCCCCAAATTAACTCTCTTGAAGTAATGAAACCCATAGCATTAAAAAGCCGAGGTTAAACTCCACCTAAAAAAGGCCACATATTCGGGACGTGCTAATATTTGCAGTAAACAACTTGACCTTCGCATTCTAGCTGTGGATTATCACGCAAAAGATATTTTATCTTGTTTTGGGTGTGTTAACAGAAAAGCTGGGTCATGCTCAAGGCACTACGAGTGACTAACGATTAGTGAGGGCATTAAATATGCGTATCTGCCCTTTTGTTCACCTGTTCCACATAAATTCAGCGTTACATTTATATCTGCATCCACCTCGCTATGCTGAGTTAATATTAACACTGTAAGCCCTCGTGGACGGTGGTAGATCATTTATTTACTTAACATGACATTACTTGCTAGCCTCCCAAAAATATGAATAATAATTTAAAGGGGGTGAAGGTGGGGGTTTATTTAGTAATTGTGACGGTGACCAACGTGGAATCGTGAGCGACAAACCACAATAGCAAAGGTGAAAAAAAATATATATTTAAATTACTGAGGCTCTTTTTGGTTTTAAAATTTGGAATACGGGGGTATTCTCCACGGTTCCATAAAAGAACCCCTTAAAAATATTATTTCTAGTAGCGAGGACATTATTCTCTTCAGAATCTGCAAAATCTCTCAAGTTTAAATAAAATAAACCCTTTATGAGTGTTTTAGTGTCTGTACACTTTATTTTTCCACAGATTTCCCACATTTTTCTACATATTTGTGTGATTAATGTCCTGTAAAGGCAGCAGACGGTGTTATATGTTGTGTTTTTAATGTTTATTGGGTTATATTTCCCACATTTTGCTTGCTTTATGCAGTAATGGAGTAGTAGCTGGCTGCTCCCTGTACTGCCAGCTCAGCAGTCTGAGCCCAGCGAGCTGCACTCTGTGGTAAACAAGTGCTGAGCTGTCAATCACAGACAGACTCCAGCAGGAGAGGACCGGCCTGAACCGGTGCGAGCACAGTCTCAGCCAGTCTCTCATATGCATAGCCGTGACGTCACCAGCCGCAGGGACTGGCCGAGCGCAACCTAGCCTGACTGCTGGCCCCGCCCACTCCCTCCCTCCGCCTCCAGCTTCCGGGTGTGTGGGGAGCACGCTGGATCCTGCACGCTTTCTGACACGGAGAGACTACTAACACTATAACCGTCATAGGACCCCATTATAACCTATAGAGAGACTGACTACTGTCATAGGACCACACTATAACCTATAGAGACACTGACTACCATCATAGGAACCCACTATAACCTATAGAGACACTGACTACTGTCATAGGACCCCACTATAACCTATAGAGACACTGACTACTGTCATAGGACCCCACTATAACTTATAGAGACACTGACTACCATCATAGGACCCCACTATAACCTATAGAGACACTGACTACTGTCATAGGACCCCACTATAACTTATAGAGACACTGACTACTGTCATAGGACCCCACTATAACCTATAGAGAGACTGACTACCATCATAGGACCCCACTATAACCTATAGAGACACTGACTACTGTCATAGGACCCCACTATAACCTATAGAGACACTGACTACTATCATAGGACCCCACTATAACCTATAGAGACACTGACTACTATCATAGGACCCCACTATAACCTATAGAGACACTGACAACTGTCATAGGACCCCACTATAACCTATAGAGACACTGACTACTATCATAGGACCCCACTATAACCTATAGAGACACTGACTACCATCATAGGACCCCACTATAACCTATAGAGACACTGACTACTAACATAGGACCCCACTATAACCTATAGAGACACTGACTACCAGCATGGGACCACACTATAACCTATAGAGACACTGACTACTGTCATAGGACCACACTATAACCTATAGAGACACTGACTACTGTCATAGGACCACACTGTAATCTATTGAGACACTGACTACTGTCATAGGACCACACTATAACCTATTGAGACACTGACTACTGTCATAGGACCACACTATAACCTAGAGCCCACCGTAACCAACCATATTTTAGGTTTAGGGATATATATGCCACCATAATAACCCCCAGCTCATTGCAAGTATATCAGCTCAACTTCCAACCACTTTATTTTTTCAAGAGAATGAATTATATGTGCGTTAGGGGCTGCAGTCCAATCCCCACTTTAAACCACTACATTGTAAGCGAGAGGGGGCTAGAAAGTAGATGGATTAATGGTGGTTATATCCCAGTGCCCGAACTAAACCATAGTAAGTTCAGTGAGTCCTCTCAGCACCTGGCTATAGGAATGATTCATCTTAACTGCCACACATTATAATTATAGTATATTAAATACTGTGCTTGCCATTCGTATAGTACAAAAATCCTTCAAAGAATGTTATTATTTATTGATCATCCAGGAACTGGTAACACAGTAATAATACCTTGCCATAGAGCTTAATCTGACACATAGTATAGCGAGTGTAACAATGTATAATGAACGTTCCATGCTTAGAACGTTGCCCTGGATCTATCCCTGGCTGGATAGAGCATGGCAGGAAAAAGAACGACATTGGTTAAACGCCTTCCAACTGTAACACCAGGCCCCGCCCATCTCTTTCCTTACTTCCCTAAGCAACAAGCATTGGCCAATGCTATCATTTGGCAGTCACCTTGACAACAGCCTAACAAAAGCTCGCTGGTCCAATGGCAAGTGTGAAGGGCGTGGTTGGCCTCACCCTCCACCTCCATCTGTAACCAGGCTTTTGTGAGAGGGTTCTGCCAAGCTGCACGTAACAGGAGAGGGACTGCATTAACCCTTTTAGTGCTGCAGGGCTCTGTGTCCCTGTCTGTGGATCTATCACCATGCATGGAGTGAGGAATATAAAAAGCTGGCAGTGCCCCTGTCTGTGGGTTTATCACCATGCATGGAGTGAGGAATATAAAAAGCTAGCAGAACATAATTCAGCCAAATATGGCATATTCACTGCCCACCTAATGTCTTCCAGCAAACCCTGCACTATATTCAGACACAAAGTAATATAGCTTCATGTAGAGCTTAGCAATTCGTTTATGAACCAAAGCACTGACCAAAGTCTCCCTTATGGCCAGATCTACCCATAACATGCCATCATGAGGTATGTAGAATTCATATCATGCAGGACCCCTCATTGTTTAATGAATGATTTCATTGATTTCCTGTAGCTTCTGAATTCTACATACTTCAGGAACTGTCCAGCCAAATGTAAAAAACGAGATGTGTCCTCCTGGAAAACAATGGTGCATACCTACTTATGGGTAACAGAGAATGCAATCAAAACAATGCGTGGATTCCAATATAGCCTAACTGGCTGTAGAACTGGTATCTAGGCTCTGTAAAATCTGGGTCAATGTAGTAAAGCAACTAGTCCTAGCCAGCTGCACATCACATACTGATGCCAGTCATCCAGCCCTCACTAGAAAGGTATACATTAAAACATTAAATTGGAGGAACTGCATTTATATACGGTGATGTACAGCCATTTTGCTGCATGAATGCAGAGCTTGCTATAAATATATATTTTAATCATCATCATCTTCTGTGCTATTCTCCTTTAGAAGTATTAAGTCATGGCCACCAGCTGACATGGCTGCAGCCAATCCACTGCAAGGAGAGGAGGTCCCCCCTCCCACTCAGATCTCTCTCCACTGACACCACTAGCCCAAAACAGGATTGAACCGCTTCTAACAAAAGGGTGGTGGAAACTTCAGAAAAACAAGATGATGCCTTCATCCAACCCCATCACCACCCCGCTTTATACAATGCCTTCTCAACCCTTCATGTTATCAGCATACATGACAATTCCAGAAAACCACTGAAATAATTATGGTTTTAACAAACAAACTGCAACACCCACCTCCAAAAGTTAGGATGGAGGTTGCTACACTATCATGCCCCATGGTATTGAAGAAAAATCAATACAGTCATCAGAAATCAAAATGGCATGTGCCAACTGTGCCATTCTAATACTTTCCAATCCTCAGATAAGAAATAATGACATTTTACTTTTGGGGAGAACAGTGGAAAGAAAAATGGTGTCACTACAGGGTTTTACTTTATGGGGTTAATGAATACTTACAATTCTTCCTACACACAATGATTTTTTTTAAACATTTAGCTCAACATTCGATTTAAATCATAACAATAAATATACTCTAGGTTCCAAACTGAATTACCATTGTTATACATACATATTACTGAAAGATGTACAGGAACATGATACATATAGAAAAATATTGACACTTACCCCTTTCATGTCCAATTAGGATGTCTTTGTGGCTAAAATATTCTACTTCTTCAGTGTAATTCTGTGTATAGGCAGTGTTAGATCCAGCATTTCTTGATTCAGTCCATCGTACTTTTGCATGCCCCCTTGCATGGATCTTAAGAGATTTCACCCTAATTTCCCCAGTGACTTCCAGATTAACCCTTCCTGAGACTGTATCCCCACTGGAATACACCGGGACATGGCTGCCATTAAGGCAGTCATAGCTTATAGTTAAACTCTTCACCTTCCCCAGCACCATGATTGTAACAAAAATGTATAAAAATATATTGTGAGAGAAAAAAAAAAAATATTAAAGTTAAGATCTCACATGAAATGTGGTCTTAATGTTGCACTGATGGATGCCTGTGCCTTGCAATAGTTGCAGGCAGGGTCAGTGCCTTCTCTGCAGGGAGTTCATTGGGATTTGCAGGTAACAAAGTAACAGCAACGATGCTGTCACAGTGCTCAGCTCTGTGGTCTCCTTACAAAGACGGCTGTCTGCAGTGTGCCGGCTCACTTATGTGCAGATTTGTGAAAAACAACCTGACTGCGCATGCTCCCGCCTCTGACACACTTTTTTTTTTTTTAAACCACCCCTCCTCATCCCTTTATTCCCTACTTCAAGAAAACTTTATAGGACATGCCCTTTCCCCCCTTCCTCCCCCCAGACTTGTTTATTCAGCAGCAGCGGTTCAAATTGCAGGGCTGGCAAAGATTAATAAAGGTGTGTGTTTTCTTAAAAAGAGACAATGCAATAGATGAAAAATGTAAGGTGGTGTGAATTGGAGTCACAATCCTACCCAACAGGATGTGGTACTGCCTCAATAATAAAATATATTTCTCTCTGTAAACACATAAATATTTATTGAATTGCACTTGGAGCAGACTGCATTTGTTTAAACACATAATAGTTTTGTTTTTTAAATTATATTTTTATTCATGGATGATCACTGATAGCACCCTGAAGCCTCACAGCTTGGTATTAGGAAATTAGATGTGCTGGTTCAATAGAGCACTCATCTGAATAAGGTTTTTACAAAAGAGAGTATCACTGCACCCACATGACAATGCCTGCCTGGCTGCCTTGGGCTCTGAATGATCTTACAGTAATGCAGTCTCCAAATGCTGTATTGTGTGTATCTGCAGCAGTAAGTAACTCTTTCTATACATGATCACTGTGTGCAAGCCTTTGAGTCCAGTGCCCCTTTGGGTGTATGCTAATGTACTTTGTGCCTTAGTATTAGTTTATTTTTAGTAATATTATTACCATGACATAATAACATATTTGCATTCCTGCACAACAGCAAAGCACATAGATATTTACTATACACATCACCCTGCTGAGATAAAAGACGATGGAATGTGAGGATTGCAGGCTGAGATAGATTGCATACATGGGAGATTAGGTATTGGTTCTATGTGCTATTAAATCTTTGAGAAAATGCAGTATTATGCTATGTTTTTTAATTTAAAAAATGGAACTAATAGCCAATTCTTTAGCCACAAACTTCCAGGTCAACCTTTCATTCATAGAATACCAGAATATGTTTTTTTCCTATCAAATATCTCTAGCTCTTGAAAGGAGCTGAATTTTAGACTTTGCCCCGTTCACTCCAGACAGTATTTTAATTACAAATCGCATTGTTAAAATAACAAGTTTGAATTTTAAATATTTGAGCAACATTATAGTGTATTCATATGCAGAACTATAATTTTTGTTCATAATTTCTCTATACCTCCGTTCAGATTTCGAGGTACTTAGGGCTTGAGGACAATCCACGTTAGTTAGGTGGTAAGTAGTTAATGCAAGTGATAGGACGTACACTGCTTTGCCATGCTGTGTTAACATTCACCATTAGAAACACCTTTAATGCTGACATTTGGAAAGATAATCCAGAAATATCCCATGTGGTACCCTTACCATTGGCGAACAAACTATAATGCTATGAGTGAACTCGATGGACTGTCCTCAAAATGTCAGGGTCATACAAACGAGTTGAGTTTAGTAAGTGACTCACAGGCCTCCATTGAGAGAATCATAGTATGCATTAGAAATACTGTACCTGTTTGATTTACACGTTTTTAACGTTACAGTTGTATATTGTAGCAGAATTATGTCCTGTGTTTAATGACTGCTTTCTTTATCTGCTTAAGATTATTTCCATATATGACAGTGTAGCTGGGTTGGCGGGAAGGGCACATCCACCAGCTGGGGTAAGTAAGGGCTTTTATTATTGTAATAAGTGAATTGTGTCTAAGCGTAAACTTTATCAAGTCATTTGACAAAGACCCTACCTTGTTTAACACATTTTCAAGAGTTTCCACAGTATTTCACACTACAAGTTCCAGAGGTAATATCCTTTTCAATATAGGTAGGAAGCCAATTAGTGATAAATATTTAAATTTTAACCATGTGAGTACCAGTGCCTTTGTATTTTCTATTTATTGAGCCAGACCCGTTTTGTACTCTGTGTTATGTATGTTATATATTTTGCTTTGCATTCAAGTGAATCTGTATACACAAAAGTGTATGTGTGCTGTGTGCAGTGTGTACTGTGTGTGAGTGAAGGGTCCAGTGTGTGATGGTGCTGTGTTTGAATGAGGGTGCTATGTGCGTGTGAGGGTGCAGTGTGTGTGAGAGTGCTGTGAGTGTCAGGGGTGCAGTGTGTGTGTGTGAGTGAGGGTGCTGTGAGTGTCAGGGGTGCAGTGTGTGTGTGTTAAGTGAGGGTGCTGTGAGTGTCATGGGTGCAGTATGTATGTGTGAGTGAGAATGCTGGTGTGTGAATATGTTTGGAGGGCTTGCGTGTTGGGTCTATATAGATCTATATATTCATTAAATAAAAAATAAAGAAGCATTGATTATATCCACCCTCCCTTTAGCCTGGGAGGGTGGACCTTGATGGTGCTAGTGGTGAGTGAATTCTAGCCTTTGGGGCTAGAGTTCACTGTCGCGAGACCCGGAGCGTTGCCATGACAGTGCTCCGAATCCCGCGAGAGGAACCCGGCGGAGCTACAAGATAGAGCTCCTCTGGGTTCCTCTCCTGTCTCCCTCCCTCTCTCCCCCGTCGGCAGCCGCAATACACTACTTGTGGGTGATCTTCTATCTCCCCACCGGCTCGTCATGAAACACAGCCTGTGATCTGCCCTTGCCAGGTGTGCCCGATGGCCAGTTCGGGCCTGCATCAGGATCCCTAACATGGCAGTGGCTTGGAACAAACTATGAAGAATAAATTAGTAAAAATGGGCAAAATTAAGATAACAATATACATGTGGGGAAAGATAAAAACAACTCAGAGAGTTCGGGGGGTGGGGGGTACCGTAAAAAAATAATTGGGTACCACTGTGATAGAGCCACATTAGGCAAATAGACCAAATGTACTAGACAACTCATGTAAAGGCTAAAGTGTTGTTTTATATAGGAAACATTTAGCATTTAATACATATTCCCCCCCCAAAATAGTGTATCATGTAAAAAAACTGCCATAAATCCAAATTTTGCTTTTTTTAACATTATTTTGTTAGCAACAAAATACACAATAGGTAAATTCATATACCTTTAACACTGCAAACTCACTTAAAAAAAATGATACCAAATATACATTACATTTACCTACATTCCTGACCCTTAAAGGCCCAATTTTGTTAAAGTGATACTTATTGTTTAAAAAAAGATTTCCACAATACCAATCAAAGTTTTTGTATATTTGATGGAAATTGACAAAGGAATTCTAAATTTTAGGCTAAAAAAAGCTAAAATGGAAAAAGTGTGCAATTCGTTTACTTTTCCAGCTTGGGTATTTTTTGTTAATTATGAAAAAGTTACAAAGTTACATGCATGTCATAGCTAGTAGATGGTTATTTAAAGTGAGAGTTCAAGATTAATTCAAAGTGAATATCAAATTAATTAATATTTATATTTCATTGTAAGTGGAAATTATATTTCTCCCATGTCTGGTACATTCTATATTCTGTATCTGCATAGCTTCAGTGGAGAGGAGTGCTTCTATTTGGCAAGTATGAGGGATTTAACCTCTGCAAGTAGAAGGAAGAATAGGACGTCTCGGTAAGGTGAAATAATAACTCTTTTAATGAGGTCCACGGTTTGCTATCTATTAGTCACAATTTTTGGTCAGGACCGCCAGACGTGGAAAAGATCACACACTGGGAATACTAACAGTTATAGAGAACTGCAGGAGTGAAGTACCATGGTATGGCAAGTATAGGTTTATAGATCAGCTCTATACAACCTCTGTTATGAATGGAAATGCTGCTGGGGGATAAATTATTAAGCAATATCAAATCACATCTAACACGAACAAAGTCTTAGACCAGATTGAGGAGCTTCTGACTGGTGAGTCTTCTCCTGGTGAAGGGAAGGGGGGGAGGGGAGGTTCTGTCTTCTACCGACAGTAGTCTTAGAAATTAGAAAAAAAAGAGAATATTGTTTTTCGTTTTCATTATTATTTTTGGAATGTATCATGCATCATACTAAGGAGCTAGTTTCCATGGTGTCATCCGGGCATCATGTAGATTGCTTGTTTGTTTTTGTGAATCAAGAATGCCTATGGCCTATAGGGTTCTACCTATCACTGTATTATGCCGTGTCATGGTTTCTATTGGCTGAGAGTGCCTTTATAGTGTTATTGTTGTTTTTGGTATTTGCATCTGACTTGTTTTGACTATTCTACCTTCTGTACTCCTGACCTTGGTTCTCTTTCTCATTTTGCCGTTCCTCTCATATCCTGACCTTGAATTGTTCTATACTTTGCAAGAGATAGGTGTTTGCAGTAACCTCAGCCACCTTTGAGGTCCAGTAATACGCCCTATCCTTTTTCCTTTATACAGTCTCAGGTTCCGTGCTCTGGATATATGTATCCTGTGAACATATTGTCCATGTCACTAGCAAAACAACAAGCTCACAACTCTGCTATCTCCGTGTTTAGCAATTGCAACCACAAACAACTAATTTCAGTACCTCTTAAACACAGAGCACAGGGTACAGGGAACAGGGTGAGCTGATACTGGTGGTATGGAGACACTGAGGGGGGATGGGAAAAGGGAAAATGGATGAGAAGACAGGAGATGGTTATATATGGGAGAGGAGATTATTATTTTATTATTTATATAGCGCCATCACATTCTGTAGCGCTGTTAATGTCCTATTGGCATCAGGAACAGGAACAGGAAGAGATAGTGACTCTTGGGTGAAGAGGATGAGAGGGTGATGCTGGAGTAAAGAGGATGAGATAGGGTGAGATTTGTCTTTCTGCAGAAATCAAGTAAATAAAGTATATGGCAGGATTCCATTCATCAGGGATTCTGTGCAATCGCTTAGTTATGGGCACCTAGGGATGTCTTCCTAATAGTCCATTGCCTGAGAATCCATCCTTCTCCATTCGCAAGTAAATATAAAGATAAAAGAACAGCAGAGGAAAAAACAGAGAGAGTGGCAAGCAATATAACCAACTCAAGTAATCTTCAGAATATATTCACCAAAGTACAGAGAGTGTCAAAAAATGGAG